CCCCCCCCCTCCCGCCTCATTTCGCTACCAAAGTTAAACTGAAAAAACCCGTATTTTTTGAAGAGGGTGTTCGAAACGATATGACGCACATAAAGGCGATAAATACTGTTAAATAAGAAACTGACTAGCAAAATTTGCTATGAGTAATGTAAGCGTATTATAGAAACTTATTCTTTAATTATCTTTCTTTTTTTTCTCTTTTTTCTTTTATCAGAGCCAAAAAAATAAACTAAGAAAGTGAGCAAACGGGTAGGGAGAAGGGGGAGGCATTAAAAAAGGGCAAAAATTAGGAAGGTTTGAAGAATTGTTTCCTTAACTAAGCAATTAGAAGAAGTCAACAATTAGACTAATAGCAATTTTAGCAAATTGCAATTCCCCCGACAAAAGAAAAACGACAACAGCAACAACGACGAACAACGACACCCAACATCCAACAAAATCCAACAATAAATCCAAAGCGATTTACGGCAATAAAAGAATTCTGCTTTCCTCTCTTTTTTTGCCTCATTTTGTTTGGTTTCTATCTAAACTATTTTCAAGTCATTTAGTGTTTGAAAAATTAGTATAGAAATACCATGTTTTAAGATCTGTGCTTGATCAACAAGAAAGCTTTGCTGTTCGCCGTAGTAGTCAAGCAAAACAGCAGAAATTCGGTTTTTTTAAAAAAAAAGTTTAATAGTTTTTTCGCCGCTTTTTATTCCTTGATTAACGGTATTGTTTGACAGCAACAATTTTCAGTTCAAGAGCCTAAAATCGGACAATGGATTTCCACCGGCGTATTAAGTGAAATCCCAAAAGATGTACGGGATTTGTTGGCGGCGATAAAAAAAAAGTTTTTAAAACTGCAACAAAAGAAATAGCAAGAAAAGAGGCAAAAATTTTAAATTTCGTCACTACAAGTCGCTGTTAACCGGAAATGAAATTTTGACTTTAAAATCACTCTTAGCATTCTAATAGCAAGAATTACGAATGAATTGCAAAACCTGTATTGCAAAGTGAAGGTGAGATCGTGTAGCACGACGGTTAGGCGTTCGTTGTCTGGTATCCCAGTCGGCGACATATTGCATACTGCTACCTTCACCTTCCTCATTTAGACGTAACTCTGAACCACTTAGATTCACAGAGCTGAAAATGTTTTGGAAATGTAATGGGCAGATTAGCGATCAACATGCTGAGTTTGACTGATGATGTTTTTTTTGGTTTTAAACACTTGTAAGCAATTGGTCCATTTAAAGGAAAATGTTTCTTTTTGATATCAGCAATTAAGCACTCTAAATTCACTCTTATAGCCTATGAATAAGATGCCAAAAGTCAATCGAAACTAAATCTCTTTCAATATTGAACAAAAATTTTAGTTTTTT